ATTTGCATTATGTCCATTGATATGTCCAATGGTCCAATAGGTCCAATGGTCCAGTCCAATGGGAGTGCCAACTCTGCATCCAGATTTTAAAAATGTGTAAAAATAATTGGTTAATAAGTTATTAATCTTAATTCTTAATTTGGCTCCCAAGCTTTTTTTTTCCTAACATTTATTTTTTATGAAAATGCCTTCTGACGAAGATTACAGAGATTTAATTTTTATCTTGAAAAATGTGTCTTCTTCAGTCCTTAAAATAATAACTGAAACAACTAAATCAACTAAATCAAAAGGAAGAAAACTTTTTTCAAAACGTTATAATCCATATCACCAACATAATAATAAGAGTAACGAATCATCATCATCGTCAGAATCCACAAATATTAATATGTCAGGAAACTTTATTCCAGAGTCATGCCCAGGTGTAAAAATTTCAATCACAAATAGTCCCTGGCAAACCAAAAGCCATCCCATCAAATGCCATGGTTGTTTTTATTTTGGACATGGAGTTTCAGGCTAGTGATTTTATTTTTTATTAAAAAAAAAACAAAAGATACAAAAATATAACATTAATTAATCTTTTTGATTTAAAACTTTAGATTGTCAAAATATAGAAGAAAATTCATATCAAAATCATTGTTACAACTGCTGGCGTGGTTCACATAAATTGGATGAATGTAAAAGGAGCCATTGTCTTGGATTCATTAAGAATGGATTTATACACCCAAGTTTTTACAACAAAGGGCACAACTGTGTTGATATTGATGATAGTATAAAAAATTACAAAGAACTTTAGATCAATTTAATTTAATTTATGTCATCATCAATATCATCCTTATAGGATCAATATTTTTTATTTTTGTGGTCTGGCCAGTTGTGGCCCTTATTTTTTTTTATATTTGTGTCCAGTCAGTTGTGACCTTTATTTTTTTTAATATTTTGTGTCTGGTCAGTTGTGTGTGGCCTTTATTTTGTGTCAGGCCATGTGTGGCCTTTAAAGATTTTGGGAAGTATTTTTTTGTGTCAGACTATGTGTAGTCTAAAAAAAAATCATTTCCCATTTATAATATTTTATAATATTAATTATTGTATATATATATATTTTAATAAATGAAATTGAAATTGAATTTATATCAGTTTGTAGCTTCTGTCTTCATAATTTTCATTAATCATTAAAAATTTTTGTAACTGAATACTTGACCAAGTTGAATGATCTTACACTCATTAGGAAGCTAAAGATTCACCATCCAACATAATAAAAAATAATTTTATACTCATTAGAAAGCTGAGTTATATCATCTATCATACTAATAATCACATGTTGTTATTATATAGGCTATAAAGATTGACAATGATTTAAGAAATTTTGACTCATATAATTGATTATTCAATAACAATTGATTCAATCTTCACCAGAATTCAATTGATTGGAATATAAGCCTTTATATTCTTACCTCTTTAATCTATATATCATGCTTATACATGATTGTCATTCATTGATGTATAAAAAAATTGTCTTGAATTTTTTTTTAAATCTTTTGCAGCTGATTTGAATTCAAAAATTTAAAAATTGCAGTTCTGCCAATTTTTAGGATAAGTTGACGATCTTGGAATCATTTAAAAGCTGAAGTTCCATCATTTTTCATATTAAAAGATTGCATATTGTTGTTATATAGACTTTAAAGATCGTCAACAATTTATAATATCAACAACCTACACTTAAATTACTCATATAATTATTATTTGATTTAATCTTTGCCAAAATTCAATTGATTCAAATAAAAACATTTATAGTCTTACCCCCTTAATCTATATATCATGCTTATACATGATTGTCATTCATTGATGTATAAAAAAATTGTCTTGAATTTTTTTTAAATCTTTTGCAGCTGATTTGAATCCAAAAATTTAAAAATTGCAATTCTGTCAATTCTTAGGATAAGTTGACGATCTTGGAATCATTTAAAAGCTGAAGTTCTATCATTTGTCATATTAAAAGATTGCATATTGTTGTTATATAGACTTTAAAAATCGTCAACAATTTATAATATCAACAACCTACACTTAAATTACTCATATAATTATCATTTGATTTAATCTTTACCAAAATTTAATTGATTCAAATAAAAACATTTATAGTCTTACTTCCTTAATCTATATATCATGCTTATACATGATTGTCATTTGTTGATGTATAAAAAAATTGTCTTGAATTTTTTTTAAATCTTTGCATAATAATGTTCAACATTTAAAATATCTGATTATCAATTTATTTTTTAGATGATTCACACCATTGAGTAGATTTTTTTGGATCATTCTCAAATACATTAAGATATATGTTTTGATAAATTTATGTAAAAAATATAATAATTTTATTATTAAAACATTATACATTATTATTATTTTCTTCTAATGTAGTTCTATTTATACATAACTTAACAGTAAACTTATTGCTTATTGTTTCATTTCCCCTATTATCTATGACTTTTATTTCCTTCCACATAAATACTATATCTCCACTACCTTCTAATCTTGTACATATATCTGAAAAAACAGCTTCATTATTTTCATAATATTTAATGGCCCAATCTTCTGACCCCAGACATTCATTTAAATTTTCTTTCCCCTCCATTCCTTTAAAAACACATCTATACCACCTATCAACACTTGAATATCTTGTTATATGATTACTAAATATTTGAACAAATACAGCTTCATGACAAGTTAGAACAAATTTCTTCCATCCTCTCCCACTTCTATTATTTTTGTAGCAACTTCAAAAGCCAGATATAATTTCTTGTTTGAATTGCTCAACCAAAAATTCAGGAACTACTAATGATAATATACTTACAGGCGGACTATTATATTCTTTATGTTTTTGAGCTTCATGTCTTTGTAAACCATTAATGTTTTTATACTTGTAATCATGTTGACACAAATTGCACTTATAAATTTGGTTCTAATTTACAAAAATAGAAAATAAAAACTATTAGATTAAGAAGCTAGAAAACATTAAACAGTTGTTAGCTACTTACTTGGACTTGGACTTGGACTTGGTTCATTTTTATAATTATGTGTGTATATATATATATATTTATGTTTATCTAAAATTAAATGTATATAGATCAGTTATTTGACTATTTCTATAGTATTTTTGTCCTACAGTATATAGTGGGACGATTTGGTGGACTTTTTTTATATTATGAAACTTACCCTGGGACGATTTGATAGACAATGTAAAGAATATACAATAAAAAATTTTTTGTTTTTTGTTTTTAAAAATAAGTTTTTATGAAAATACAAAGTATTGCTATGGTTGGCTCGGTTTAAAGACCTCCTACTGCTGCGCCACGCTACTCAAATTTCAAAAATTGCAATTTCGTGATTCGTTCAAAAATGCAATAAATTTTTTTTAAAAAAATGGTTACACGTGATTTTGGTTAAAAAACCATTTTCCTTACTGCCAAATTTAGATATGATGGTCGAGTATTAGGCTAAATTTAGGAATGATGATCAAAAACTAGTCT